CTCTTGAATCCGCTCATGGGACTCAGCAACTGCTTGGAGCAACTGTGCTTTGTAGTCTTCCACATTCTTATCCATTGCATACCAACTCACGCCGCCATTAGGTATTATCGCCGATGGGAAGTTTGGGTCCATCCCATGTAAGAGAAAATATGGGCTTTCTCCAGTTGACCGATGTGGCGTCATGTTATACGCCATTAGGCAGAAAGGGAGTCTCACATCCCACTCCATGGGGGTCGGAGTACTCCTCCGCAGCATAGCTACTATAGTGCCGTTTAATCTTTCCGTGAGCCCGTTTTCCCTGGGGTTATACCCCTTTGTGGTGATATGTTCAATTTTTGTTATCTTGGTAAGTTCCGCCATCACCTTATTCTCAAACTCTCCACCTCTGTCCGACAAAATTTTCTTTGGCCACCGGCAGCCCTCTGCTATCCATCTTACAAACAGTACCTTTGCTACGGTTTCCGCCGATTTATCCACTACCGGGTAAGCCGCAGCGAACTTCGAAAAGTGGTCAATGACCGTTACGGCATACCTATTACCGCTAGTCGTCAAGCCTAGTTCTAAAATATCCACACCCACGATTTCGTACGGCTTTGTCGTGACGATGGGCTTGAGGGGTGGTACTATCACTGACTTCGGATTATGCACAAAACAGCGCTGGCATTCGCGCGTCCATTTGCGAATGTCTTGCAACATATTCGGCCAAAAGACTTCTCTCTTTAGTCTATTGTAGAGCTTATAAGCACTGAAGTGACCTGCAAATGTACCGGAGTGAGCTTCGTCGAATATCATTCTTCCTGGCACTCTTAGGCACTACAAATGTCAAATTTCCATCATCTCGGTACATTTTCAGATCACCTTCCTCAACTACGAAATCAGCCATGCGTACAGATTCTTTCGCTCCTAACCAGTTTTTCGTGCCTTCTACCTTCCCGTCGAGAACAGCCTTGATTATTTCAGCAAAATCGGGGTCTTTCTTGAGTTCTTTCATCCATTTAGTTTCTTCTTGGACCTGTAGCTTGCTTACTACAGCTTCGCCAAGTCCGCCCAGGGACATGTCACCCGACCATTCCAAAGTCCCTCTACTTAATGCGTCCGCCACTACGTTAGTTTTTCCTTTCACGTACTTTATTTCTATTCTGTATCGCTGGAATTTCTAACGACCATCTGAGAACCCGGGCCGACACGTTATTCCGCTTGAAAAGTGCCGTTAGCGGTTGATGGTCAGTGAGAACAACCGTTGGCAGACCATATATGAACATATGGAACCTACGAACCGCGAAAATTACTGCTAGGGCTTCCAAATCTGTTACGTGGTACCTTTTTTCCGCCCTGCTTAGGCTCTTTGATGCGAAATAGACAGGATGTAACTGTCTGTCGTCACCCTCCTGTGACAGCACTGCTCCTAGTCCCGTCGTCGATGCATCAGGTACAAATGATGAAAGGTCGTGAGCCTTCTCTGGCTTTCTCAATATCCGGCTGCACTAAGACAGGTGCCGACGATATCATCTTTTTCAGTTTTCCAAACGCTTCCTCATGCTCTTTTGTCCATCTCCATAGCTTTTCGAAGACGTTAGATTGAACAAGCATCCTGCAACCTTCGAGAATCCAAGGCAGAATTTTCGATAGAACGAAGCCATTCCAAGGAATGTCCGCAAACCCTTAACGTCTCTTGGAACCGGGTAGCCTGTTATCGCCTCCACCTTTTTGGGGTCCATGTGCACACCTTTTTCATCAACAATATGTCCTAGGAAGCTCACTTGCTGTTGCAGCAAAACACATTTCTGCGCTTTGAGGCGCAATCCGGCTTCTTGTAGCTTGGCACAAACCCTGCGCAACATCTCGATGTGCCGTTCACGAGAGTCAGTACATATAATGATGTCGTCTATGTAGCAAAATACTTCTTTGCCTAGCAAATCTTGCAGCACCGTGTCCATTAGCCTTTGAAAAACCGCTGGACTAGTGCTCAGGCCAAATGGCGTGACTCGAAACTGGAAAAGTCCCTCGGTTGTTGTGAACGCCGACTTCTCCTTTGCCTTCTCTGAAAGTGGTATTTGCCAATACCCGCTACAGAGGTCGAGCGTCGAAAACCACTTCTTCCCTGCCATACTCTGTAGGATTGCGTCCAGTGTGGGCAGCGGATACGAATCTTGCTTGATCCTCTTATTGAGCTCTCTGTAATCTACGCACAGGCGCAAACTTCCATCCTTTTTTTCGACTAGGACTATAGGAAATGCCCATTCTGAGCTGCTTTTTTCGATGATCTTACGATTTTGCAGGTCAACCAACAGCTCCTTCAACTTTTTTCTTACTGCTAATGGGACAGGCCGTGTCTTCATCTTGATGGGCTTGTTGTCCCCTGTGTCTATGTCCATCACTACCTTGTCCGTTCCCGTGAGTTCCGTATCTGACACGGAAAAAGCCTCTGGGAATTCGTCTAGTACCTCCAAAATATCCTCGCTTAAGCTCTTGGCATTCGAGCTTTGTCTGAGCTGCTCTATTAAAAGCGCTCGACGTTCGTGGCTATCCGCCCTATTCCCTGTATCCTCCAACACACATGGGTTAAAGGCTTCCCATTTTTCTTTCCACTTCTCGGTACCCCAGTGGCCAATTTCCTCCCCTCGTCCAAGAATCATAGGCTCCTCACTATGATTTACCACTGGTATTTCAACTTTCTGATTCCTTATTTTGAAAACTCCACAACTCAACCCTATTCTAGTTGGCCAAAGGACACCCTCCGTCATTTGTTCTCCAACATCACAGTGAGCCGACACTACCCTAGATCCGTGAGGTGGGATATATATCCTCTTTGCTACCTTCACTGTGTTGGGCTTCACACCTTCGGCCTCACTGGCATCTGATTTTGACTGCGAAATTGTCAAGGTAACTCCCAAATCGCCTAGTGCATTTGTTCCAAGCAGTATTTCCTCTTCACGACTATCCGCAATATAAAAAGCTACTTCACTACTCCGTCCTCCTTCCAACTCAACCCTCATTCTAACTGCGCCTAGGAATTCCATCTTATTGTTCGAAGCATCATAAACTGGTAGATCCTTCCCCTTCCTTATGAGCTCTAAGCTGTCCACATCGAAGCCTCTGTCCATGGCTCGAGATAACACTCCTACGGGGACTATGCTTATCATTGAACCAGTATCTAGCAGAGCAGGAACGCGGGTATCCAACACCCTCGCCCAACCTGACATTCGTCTTCCCACTAATGCAGTTGTCGTTCTCGGATCAGCTGCTAATCTAACTCCCATACTCCTCGCTTTTTGTACGATGAGCGAGATCCTGTCATCGCTTGCAGGTTCCTTCTCTACTTGTGACTCCTTGATTCGCTTTACCTGTGTTCTTTGGGTGCACTCTTTCGCAATGTGCCCGAACTTTGAACAGTTGAAGCACTTTCTACCATCATTGCTATTCCTTTCCCGAGGCTTATTACTATCGGAGGGCAACCTTCGTTCCAGAAACCTATGCGCGTGACCTTTTTCAGGAAAGATTCGATCTACCCTCCCGTCGACTTCTTTTCTCGCAACTTCTGTGATGACTCCTGTCGTTGCGGTCCTTCCTCCGCCTACTTCCAGATTGCTGCTTTTGTACGACCGAGCTCTCGTCTTCCAATCGCGGTGTCGGTCTTCCCTTTCTACCTGGGTTCCCCCGTAAATCCGCTTCGATAGCTCAATAGACAGAGCCAACTGCTTCACTTCTTCATAGGCTTTTTCTGGTCTTGCCTTATGCAGTACACTCAATAACTGGACATGTTCTGGCCATTGCTTCAAGTTAGACAACAGGATGTGCGCGTACTCTAGCGAATTATCCTCAATACTACCCCTTGGGTTCGCTTTCCTTCCTAACTTTTCCAAGGCTACGCAGAAATCAGCAACTTCCTGCTGAGGGCGGATTCTCAGTTCGCGCAGTTCAGCAATGGCTCGCATTCGACCAGCTACACAATCATCTGCCAGCAGCTTTCCTAGCTCCTCCACTACCGCCTCAAAACCTCTATTTCTAACTTCCATCGGTAACGAAAGGAACACTGACTTTGCTCTGCCACCTAGGTGGTCATCACCTAATATCTCAATAAGTGTCTGATCACTCACAACCACCCTTTGGTACTTCCTACGGAACCTTCGGATGAATTCTTTAAAGTTCTCATTCACTTTCCCTTTGTATACCCCAGGATCGACACAAGACAAAGATTGGAAACAGTTAATCATATCCATTGTCGAACACTGACCTGGTGGTCCGTTTGGTCCCTCCAAGTAGTTCTCCACACATGGCCTCCATCTGGGCTCGAAGACAGCTCCAGTCCACTGTGTCGGAGGTGCCTGTAAGCGCCCATTATCTCTTCCGATGTCATATGCCATTTGAACATTGGCGTTGCCATACTCACTTGCTCTTTTTTCTTCGCGCTCTCCTTGTGCGCAATCTCCGCTTTCGACGACTCTTGCTTTGAGGTCCCTTGCAGCACTGACCACCTGCAACGTGTTCGAATTCAGTATGTCACATACTGTCGCCAAAACCTCTCCGTCTTTCTCCATAGTCGCAATGTACCGATCCCACTCATCCTCCGAATCTATCCCCCTCTCATCGAGAACTTCACAAATTCTTTCTTGGATCACAAGCGTTGTCTTACAGTTACCCAATAGTTTTTCAATTTTTTGGCAGACATTGTCAACCTCCTTCCTAAGGAACTTCACAATGTTTCTCCTTATAACGAGCCGAGACCTTATGCTCCCTTAGTTCCGAGTTAATAATCTCAGGGATTCGTTTCAACATGGAGTTTATCTTGGTTAACTCGTTACTAACTGATTCAAGAGGAAAAACAGAACTATTTGTGCTCACCGTTGGCATCTGCTCTTGCTCGTCCATACAGTCCTCCATGTGATCTTCGCTGTTGACCACCATAGTGACTGTTTATCAACTGAAAGACAACAGTTCAAGCCTCCAATCGACAGAATTATCCGATAATACAAACGCGATATAGAATAATTCGACACTCCGAACGCGATACTCCACGATACGCGAACACGAGTACTACAACACACTATCAAGACGCTTTCCCACACTTTATGGGTACGTTCTGGGCAGTCCCGATCAATCAGGGATACCGTTCTGCTCTTTGTTCCTAGCACGGACTCTTCGGTTTGGCTCCTCTGTAGCCTACAGTCCAATACTCTCCTCTCACTGGCCACACCTTGATCGGTGACCAATGACACAATCGGAAATCCGATATGACCTCTCTCCACACGTTCTCTGCTTTGGCTCCACTCTAGCCAATGCTGAGATCAGTCACCTTGGCTCTGACTCGCCCTGTATCACGGGTCAAAGCTGCCTCGATGGTTGACTCCTTCAGTTCAAACTTACACCCACAGAGCGAGCTGTTAATGTCACTCAAGCTTTGCTGAGTTCGGCCCCACATGTAGGGTCTTAATTGGGTCCCCACAATTCTCGGACAAAGCTATGTGAGTGTAGTGTAGAGTCGCGAAATCAAACAAATTTTATTTCAAACGAACGAGGAAACAGAGAATAGAATAAAAAGAATAAAAACGACGATGAGGGGAGGGAGGGCGCGCTGTCGCCGGAGTGGAATCCTTGCTACTGGTAACTTCTCTGAAAATAATACTCTCGACTCCCCCCTGTCCCGCCAGATCATCGGGGAGTTCGCGCCTAGTGGGCCCGGCGCTTGACTGGTAGGCCACCCTTGACTAGATAAAATTTGTTAAACCTCTCAGCCTCGCAGGATTGCCGATATTGGCTCCACACGTTATACGTATGAGTGCTGGCAAGATATGGTAAGTACACAAAAAAAGCTGAGTTGGGTGAAACGGTGTTCCGGTAACGTACTTGTGGTGCATTTGCCCGGTGAGCGAGAGGTGCAGGTTCAAGTCCCACCTGGAACGGAAGTTTTGTTCATAATCCGAAATATTCTTTTCAAACTTCAACCAGTAAATATGGTCCATTCCAGAATCATTCTATCTTTTGAATAGTGGATGGAATCAGAGTCAAGAGCAACGAAACTTAACAGCCAAAGTCATGCTCGGTGTCGGCATATGGCACCTGCTGAATATTGAGTTAGAGATGGGAATGACGATGTGAAGGAGAAAAACGAAAAAACTGGTCGACAGACACCTAATATAGCATTTCCTGCTAGCATGATCGAGGATTCTTGGGATACCAGTTCAATACGAGTTTTCTGGATATGTGAACGTGCCATGCGGTTATAAAGCGATCAAATCTCCCGCTGATCTCACCCTTTTAGGCCCAGCCAGCGCACCAACATCACATCTGGCTGCCGTGAAATTCCTCGGGCAAATCGGCATGTCACACAATGATGGCCTCGTAGGCGCCTTGCCGTCCACTCCTTTGCGCGACAGCTCCACAGTCCCCCTCTGCATGAAACTCCCACTTGACCCTATAAAGACTTCCTCAATGTTGCCCTTAATCCTGACTCGTGGCTTTAATAGCCAGTTCGAATGAAGTCGAGAGAGGGAATTTGATTAAATCGTAGTTGTGGGAGAGATGGTTGATCCTGACGGAATTTTGACGATTCGTGGTAAGCTTTGAAAAGAAACGTGAAATAATTAAAAATGAATCATTGGTTGTTCTTCTACACATACTGGCAACCTTCCCCACGGCAGTTTTGAAGGAAATTTAGAGAGCTAAAGTTTTCCGACAGTTTCCAAAACACTAGAAGCAGCCCTGGTGGAGAGGGTGGAGGTTACTGATACATCGTGTTGATAACTTTGTTTCATAATCAATATTCTTTTTGAGCATTTAGTCAGGAAGAGGTCAGCACTAGCAATTAAATGAGTCACTGCGAGCGAGAGGTCGAGGGCGAGGCACATTACAGTAACCCCATAAATGGCTTGCCATATGCAGTTATATTCTAAGTTCCGCCATCCCAAAAGTTCGACCGAATGACGTGTTAAGGCCATGAAAAAGCAAATTTTACTTACTTTCCCTTTAGTGGTTCCAAAATAAATTAGACGTGGATCTTTCAATGGAAACACATATTTTCCCATACAAGTTTGTGTTCGCTTTTATTATTCCTTTTATCGAAATGTTTACGGTATTTAAAGAAAACGAGGAATGAACTGAACAGACATATCCGTAAGGTCTGGAAAACCTCTGCCGTACTACACAACATGTGGCCTTTCTCTGAGCCCTGTGGTTTTTAAGCATGCTCATGTATACTATGCGAGGAGTAAAAGACGCTCATTGGAATGTATATTTCTCTGTATCTATTAGCGCAGAAAAGGGTGACTCAGGTGGGATGCGTTACCGCGTCACAATATCCCACAAGGTGCGCAAAGTGAGACTCGTTACCGCGTCACGCTGTCGTCAACGTGTTAATAACAGGGTGAGCAGAATCTAAGGCAATAAAAGGATCATGCAAACCAAATCGGCAAATAAAGCAAGTGGATATCAGGAATATAGTATCAGGGCTTTGTGATTTCGTGCAACATTTTTGTTAATAATAGGGCGGAAGTGTAGTGGCAAGTGGCACGCTTACCACGCGAGCGGTCCGGGGATCAAATCCTGGGTCGTGAGTCGCCCGGGCCAACCAAGCCTTCCATCCCTCCGGGGTCGGTTAATTGGTACCAGACTTGTCTGGGAGGATAAAAACACTGACTTGTACATCGGCTGGCCCCCGCAAGTCATTGTATAGGCCACATCGCATTCAAACGCCACTACGAATGTACAAATGGAAGTAGAATGCGTGCCGCATCCCAAAAAGGGATTGATCAACGGCAAATGCTTTATCCTTTTATTATTGTCAGTATCTACTTTGACAGGAGACCTCGAACAAAGTCGTCCGTCACACTTTTATATGGGGCCGCACTGCTGTGCTGGCACTAGTTTGCCGTGCAATACATTTTCCCGTCGTTGCCCGTAGCGAGGTTTGAGGGGGTTCATGTCCTTTTATCAGGGAACTACAATCTGGAAATGATGCTTTAGGGAGACCTTCAGTGCCCAATCCCGAGCTGCTGTGCTACAGGGTGAAAATCGTGTCGAGGACATGGCCACATCAGTACGACATGTGAGACCCCTCCAATTTTGATTTGATATGAGCAACGAGTTCCGTCAATGCGTGCAGCGCGGTTTATCCGTGGGTCAGATTTGCCGAAACCCCGCTCGAAACCGTCGAAATCTACACTCTCGATGAAAAGGTTCCATTCCCCCATTTCACAACCTTTGGAGCAGTGTGTGGTAGGGTTAGATAGAGCTGGATTTGCTACTACCGGGCTATTGAAATTGATCTAAAATCTTTACTTGAGGAGATATTTGCGTCGAGGATCTATCGAGGATGATTCTCGGCCACCTAAAAAGCCGCTCCCTTCTTCACCATTGCAAGTTAATTCGTTGGCAACTCTCGAAATGTCTAGAATAAATTCTCCCAACGTAAGCGACAAGAAAAGGGCAATCGTCATCGTCCGATCTCGTCTCAGTATAGGCCATGCATCCGACCTCCACTCAAGTTGTAGAATCTATTGAACGGAATTACTATTGAATGGAATTACACATATGATGATGACCTGTTGACAGAAACTGTATTGTAGTAACCTAAGGAACAGCTTCATTTGCCAGGGTCTTTCCAGAACTGTTGCCGTTTTTGCGACAGCGTCCCTAACAACAGTGTCATTCTCAGTGAGGTATGAGGGCGAGGGAGCGGGCGGTAGATGGAGAAGGTGCCTTTGCAGCACTTGTGACCTTGTTCCTTGCAAAGATGCACTTTCATTCTTTGAAGTACTTTCAAAATTTTCTTCTCGGCTCTTTTTCAGGGTGGGTCATGGGATATACGACCCCCCAGGACCCATCCTGACAAATACGACCCCCCTGTCGAGGATCTCCTCGACCGATATTCACCCTGACATGAACCGCTCGACAGCACACAGGGCCGCAAAAGCTGGTGACACCA